ATTGGTTTTTCGCGAAGGAACCGGAAGAAGTTTACTTCCGGGTTTTACGACGCGTCACTGCGGTTCTCTATACGCAAGGCAGTGGACACTGAAACGTGCACATTGGATAAATAACATAGGCGTTTAGTTTATTTAATAAAAGAGCACATGTTCAATGTGAAACGTGACCGTAGATAGATTACTTCAGTTGCAATTTGGTGCTATATACAGTAAATATATATTTTTTTAAATAAAAAAAATAAAAGATTTAAATAAAAAAAATAAAATTAAAAAAAAACACCTTGAATTTCAGGTAGGGCGCGGGGCTCCGTTGGCAGGGCGCAGCGCCCCGCCAAGACAATGGTAGGGGAAACACTGCAATATAATGCCATTTTGCATTATATTCTTATCCACCCCACCCCTCTTTAGGTGTGATGAACATGTTCGGTTCTTCATCTCTCCTCTCTGTCAGTCCTTACCTGCAGGCATGGTGACCCAGCCCGTCGTCCTGATGCCCTCTGTGTACCAGCAGGGGGTGGGATATGTGCCCATTGCAGGTCAGACACACACACACACACACACACACGCACACACACACACACACAATCTAGCCTCTCAATAGTGTTTTTGTAATCACCTTCGCCGTCCGAAGGGTAGCCACAGGTCCACAGGGTTGAAATGTATAAAAACTAGTTAACCTACAGACAGTATTAATTAACAGTGTGCTAGAAGGCTAGTTAGCTATCTATCTAAGAAGATGCCTAGCTAGCTTACTAGCTAAGTATTTTTCTAACTATCCCCAAATTGGTGGTTTAACTTATAAATATTATTAAATACCCTGAGGTTATTTACATCGCCGACCTGTGTCTACCCTCGTCACCTCCAAACATTGACATCAAATCCAAAAATGTACGTTATTTGGATAAACTGATCACATATTTTGAAGCACACACTGTCTTGCCTGAAAAAAGGATTAAAACCTAATCGTCATTTTAAAAGCCTAAGACCTTTTATTGGGCTGGCTCTTCTCTGTTAGTTCCCCCCCCCTCTGTGTCTGGCTCTTACATCAGCAGTGTGTGTTGTGTTGCTAGGAGTGCCTGCAGTCTACAACCAGGGCATGATGCCGATGGGGTTGCCCGCAGCCGTGCCCGCAGTGGGGGGCCCGGGGCCGGTGTGCAGCGAGGAGGACCTGAAGGCTCTGCAGGACATGTTCCCCAACCTGGACCCCGAGGTGGTCCGCACCGTGCTGGACGCCCAGCAGGGCAACAAGGACGCTGCCATCAACTCTCTGCTGCAGATGGCCGAGGAGCTCTAACTGCAGAACATGGCTCACAGTTGAAATACGCACGCGCGCGCACACACACACACACACACACACACACACACACACACACACACACACTGCAGCCACAGAGATGTTTCCTGTCCCTCTATTGATCCTGCATTAGGATGTGAGGGTGCTTAAGGTTTGTATCAGTGTGTTCATCTGCTCACTCAGCGTTTGATTTGCACTGTCTGAGCTGTAGTGAGTCCTGTTGTTGTTATTATGATGTTTACATCATGTCTGTAGTTACCTGCAGAATTCTGTTGTTTTATATGTCGCTGTAAAGTGTTTAATGCAGAGCTCAAAATCTGGTAAATTATTATGGATGTATAAATTATTTAGAATATATGGTGATGAGTTGATGAACAAACACCCTGAGGACGCCATGTCACTCTGAGTCATCTTTCATAGTGAGCAAATCATTTCTGATGACACCATTATCAATCAGTGCAGTAAGGATGTGGGAACTGTTGTAAAGTAATATCCGGTGTATATATGAGAGTTTTGATAAAAACACAGTTAGCTGTGATGAACATTGTCTGGAGAGATTTACTCTAACTTTTATTGAGATAAGTATTCACCGCTGTATTTAGAAATACTTAGTGCCCCCTGAGTAGTGAGGGTGAGAACCCCACTGGATGTTCATCCCCATAGGACCAAACTATTTAGTGTGCCAGAAAAACATTTCATATGTTCCAATTCATAGTATGTCAAACCCACAATGCCAAAAACACCAGGTTTTTCTGACTGGATAGCAGATATAAGAGCAAGAGGGTCAAAGTTCAAGATGGTCCTGCAGTATGAAGTAAAAGAACAACTAATTGCATCTATTGTTTATGGTGACCCCCCCACCATCCTATTAAAGCATGTACATGAGGACCAACAGATTCATATTCACTGTGTGATGTGATCGCAACGCTTCCTGATTCCCGGCCACAGCTGTGCCCTCTAGCTCCTCTAGATCTCCTCCGCTCCACTGTGGATTCTGCCTGCCAAAGGTTCACGTGACAGATGTCGTCTGATGGACTTATCACTTGTGATTCATTTACTATCGCTCATTATTACTTCACAATTTCAGTCATTTTGTTCTGTGTCATGTGATTCTGTTCTTTCAGCATCTGGACATCCTTGCACTTGCAGTTTAATTTATTAAATTGATTATTAGAATCTTTTGTCATTTATCGTCATGCTTGGCATAAACTGCAGTTGTTTAAATCTTCATGTTACTGAAATAGCTTTAGGAAGAGTGGTTTTAGTGTTCAGAAGACAACGTGTCCCCTCTTCACAACCACAGCTACATTCAGCTCCACACAAGCACAATGAATCTTTGTTAAAGGAAGATGTTAGAAGAAAAAGATGCTCATAAAAACAACTCATTGTCATCTTCCTTTGTCCAGCCTGGTGTCATGTATATACTTATCATACCTGCCGGTGTAATAGTCATGTGTTGAGTGTGACCCATCTAAAGCAACACGTCCCTGTGAGACATCATTCAGACCCCGCTGAGAGTCAGTAACATTGATGAATATGGCTTGAACAAAGATCTTAGAGGCATTTTACATCGGATCAAATCCTAAAGAATCCAGTGGAAGCAGGACTTTCAGTGTGAGCTTCTCAGAATCATGTTTCAGACAAGAGTCACACATAGTGTATTTGAAGGAATGTGGCTTTGTATACTAAAGCATAACACTAAAGGTCAAGACACAGATAATACAAAGTCTAGATGTGTTGATAGTGAAAAGGGCTATGTAGTTTTTGAAACAAATAGGACAGATTTGCAATTGCAAAGTTTACATTAGAGTTTAAAGAATATGCAAGTTGACTTTTGTTCTCATTTATGTACACACATTTCTGATTTTATATAAAAGTACCAGATATGTTTGTTTTTTCTCCAGTAGTTGCTAATTTTTGTACCTATATGTACCTATCATGCAAAATGCACCTTTGTACGTCTTTTATACATGAATATGTGTCACCGGTGTTCCAGGGAACTCACCAAGTGTCAGAAAACAAAACCCTCTATTTTCCTCCTTAGCCAAATCTAAAAAAAAAAGGGGCTGCAATGGATCTGAAAAAAACGGATCCAGATTTCAACAC